TATATACCTTTCTGCTTTCTGCCATCACTTCCTGGGATTAAAGGCGTGAGTCACCATTCCTGGCTGTTTCCAGTGTGGCTTTGAACTCACAGAGATCAGATGGATCTCTGCCTCCCAAGTGATAGGATTAAAGGTGTGTATGCCATCATTTTCTGGCCTCTATGTCTATCTAGTGGCTGTTCTGTCCTCTGACCCCAGATAAGTTTATTAGGGTGCACAATATATCGGGGGACACAATATACCACCACATTTCCCCTTTTTTGTCTAAAATAATAAAAGAAGGTTATAGTCAAGAACTACATTAACAATGTCTATTCCATTATCATTAGACAGATTCAGACAAAAAAACTCCATTATATATATTAACAATATCCAGTTCAGTAACATTTGATAAACTTAGACAAAAAATTTCATTACTTATCCTATTTAAAACAAGTAGTTCCTTTTTAAAAGTAGATTCAATAATTGACCTTCTTATCTTACCATATCCATATTCTCTTTTTTCTTTTCATAATACATTCAATAGTCTACCTTGTTATTTTTATATCTTCCCATTTTTCTTTTGAGAGTAGATTCAACGATCTACCCATTTATCCTATTATTTTTTTTTATCTTTTTTCTCAGAGTAGATTCAATAATTTACCTCACATAGCCATTAAGCGGAAGTCCGGCAGTGGTAGCACATGCCCTTAATCCCGATCACAAGGCAGGCAGAGTCTCTGTGTGTTCAAGGACACAGCCATGCATGGTGACACACGCCTTTAATCTCAGTACGAACCATAGAGACCTAGAGGTCTGTATAGACAGGCAGTGATGAGGAAGTCATGTGGTTGGGTTTAGAGCCAATGAGAAGGCAGAACAGAAAGGCAATAAAAAGACAGACCACAGGAACATGGTCTCTCTCTCTCAGGGGAAGGATGGCAGCCATTGGTAAGCTAAAGGCTATTAGCTAGTACTCTGATCTCTTGGGCTTTTAACTTGGTATTTGGCTCTGTGTTTCTTATTTAATAAGACCATGCTGTTTTATCATCAGTTTATTCTTTCCTATAGTTAATTTCTTTATATTTATTTTATGTGTGTGAGTGTTTTGCCTGTTTGTGTGTATGTACACCATGTTGGTGCCAAGTGCCTGAGGGGAAGAGAAGGGAGCACTAGACCCCCTGGAACTGGAGTTACAGTGGTTGTGAGCCACCACGTGGGTGCTAGGATCCAACCCTCGGTCCTCTGCAAGGGCAACAAGTGCCTGTACCCACTGAACCACTTACCCTCTCCAGGCCCCTTGTTACAGTTACTTTTACAGAATGTTTCAGTTGAGGAAAAGGCAGGAGGAGGGAGGGTTTGAGCCTGTTCTACAGAGTGAGATCTATCGAAAAACAAAACCAAAATCCAAGACCAAACCAGAAGACAGCTGGTGAGATGTCTCAGTGGCCATCAGCTCCTGCCCTGCAAGCCTAATGACCTGAGTTTGATCCCTCAAACCTGCAAAAAGGCAGAAGGAAAGAACTGACTCCACAAAGTTGTCCTGTGACTGCCACACACGAACTATGGCATGTGTGCCCTCTCATCTGGCACCTATGCATGAACACACACACACACACACACACACTTTAGAAACAAGTAAAATAAAAAAAACTTCCCAGGAAACAAACCTCCAGGAAATCTGTATCAGTAACTTGATCACATACTTGAAGTCGTTCTTGTGAAGGCTTGCTTATGAAGTCTCTTAAATGTTTGTAAATATACAAATACACACTCTGCCAAGATTCCTTATTACCAATACATTATCATTGGTTTCTAAAAACAATTCTGAAGCCTTTCACATTTAATTCTTATTTTTCTGAGCAAAAAGAGATGAAGTGTTGGGAAAAGACTGTTCCCATCCTAGCCACCTGAAGTAAGGCAGATATTGTCCTAAACAATAAGAGATTTGACGGGACTTGAGAGTCACAGTTACAGACATGTAATTGTATGACGGGATTCTACTGCTCCCTCTTGCAAGCACTTTCAGGGACCTGAAAACGTGAAGGACATTTATCTTGGACACACACAGTCTAAACATTAGGAAGGGCGCTGCTTTGAAAGACATCCATCCTTCCCTTGGTTAGATGATGAGATTCAAATCTCTGGGTTTAGAATTTTTTACTGTATTGCTATTGTGGGGCATGCTCATGCAACCCTGTACACTTGGAGCTCAGAAGACAACTTCGTGGAGTCTGGATGGAACTCAGGTGGCTATGTTTCCTTGGCAAGTGACTTTATCATCTGTGCCATCTTGTTGACCCCTTCTCCTCCAACTTGTTTTTTTTTTTTAAAGTGAAATGTCAAAAATACTTTATAAATATGTAATTATACATATACTATAAATATATATAAATAGGTAAGTACATGTATTTACTATAAAAATACCTTTATTGAGACCTTGAACTCTTCTGTATTCATGGAGCATTTATTTATATTATTTTCTTTTTTTCTTGTTTTTATTTTTTGAGACAGGGTTTCTTTGTGTAGTTTTGGTGCCTGTCCTGGAACTCAGTCTGTAGACCAGGCTGGCCTCAAATTCACAGAGATCTGCCTGGCTCAGCCTCCCAAGTGCTGGGATTAAAGGCATGAACCATCACTGCCTGGCTATTTTCATTTTTTTTGAGGCACGAGTTTCTCTTCGTAACAGCCCAGACTATCCTGGAACTCGTTTATGTAGACCATGCTGGCTTCGTACTCAGAGATCTGGCTGCTTCCCAATATTAAAGGTGTGCACCATCACTGCCCAGCTCCAGCATTTTTAGGAGTATTTAAAATGGCAATTTAGCCGGGTAGTGGTGGCTCATGCTTTTAATCCCAGCACTCGGGAGGCAGAGCCAGGCGGATCTCTGTGAGTTCTAGGCCAGCCTGGGCTACCAAGTGAGTTCCAGGAAAGGCGCAAAGCTACACAGAGAAACCCTGTCTCGAAAAACCAAAAAAAAAAAAAAAAAAAAAAAAAGGCAATTTAAATTTGCCATGGAGCTTATTACATCTTACACAAAAGCTAACTTTTCTTTTTTCTCTCTCTCCCCTCCTCTACCTCCTCACCTCCTCCCTCTCTTGGAGACAGATTCTCGATGTAGTTCTGGCTATGTAGACCAGGATGGTCTCAGAGAACCACTTGCCTCTGCCTCCTGAGAGCTGAGATTAAAGGCGTGTGCCACTACGCCCAGTTTAAAGCTAATTTTTCTTAAGTGCTTTTCACGGGTGAAACAATGCAATTTGTACGTCTAGGTACACACACACAGAGGCAGACACATATAATCTCAGTATCTTGCAGATGAGGAAACTAAAGCTTACAGAACTTGACTACTTTGACCCAGTTTACAAGCAGCTGTGCAAATTTAGGGATTGAGCTGGAATTCCAGTTTCCACGTCTTTTTTTTTTTTTTTTTCCCTGAACTTCCTCTTCCGGTTCCTGCTTTTCCAGTTTCCTCAGGAGGCTAGGGCATTACCTACCAGGAAACTGCCCTTCCCCGCCCTCACTCTTTTCCCTCCCCCTTCTCCACCCGCAGGTCTCCGCCCAGCCTTGGGTTAAGCCCCAGCGGAGGGCCGGAAAAACCACATTTCCCAGAGTGCACAGCGAGACGGAGTCCTCCAACCAGAGCGCTCCAGGCGGCGCCATTTCTGTGGTGGGAGTGGTGGTGCGGCCTGCGAGCATGGCGCTGTTCCCGGCCTTTGCGGACATAAGTGAGGCCTCCGGGGGTGGGACATCCAGGAAAGGTAAGCACCCCAAAAGAGTCGAAAGCGACAGTCGATGATATTAGTGGCAGTTTTTCGGGCCCGGGGCTTGGCCTTTTTTTCTCGGATTTGTTTATCCACCTGTATCCCAGAGTTCTCCGCGGCGCTGCAAAGCCTTCTGGGTCTTGTCTGAAGCTTAGGGAAAAGGTCCTTTCAGGCACTAAGGTGGTCAAGTTAGGGAAGGGTTAACAAAGGCTAGGGTGAAGTGTTGGGTCTGGGGCTAACATTACTATATTTTTGGACCTCAGTCTCCTAGGAGCTGCAATAAGACAACTCCATTGCACAGAGAAACCCTTTTGAAATACTTTTAATTGTGGTCAGTGTAATTCTTTTGTTTACTAAACTGTAACCCTCAACAAAGTCTGAGACGGTCTGTCTGCTCGTTGCAGCCCATCTAGTTGTCAGCACAGGTTCAAAATATAGAAGTGTTCAATAAACGTGTCCGCAGTGTGTGGACGGATAGTGCAACGTGTTGCATGAACGAAACTAAAAACAAACAGTATAAGTTAGAATGTTAGAAATGTCATAGATGAGCCACAACTAACAACATCATAAATGGGACGTTCCAAGGTTTTGTAAGAGTTAACTTTGCAGTGATCTTCAAGAGGTTAGGATTTGGACAGATAATAGCATTCAGGAACCTTCAAAGGCCTATGGAACAGAAGCATGAGACTTATTTAGATAAATGTAAACACAACTATTATTCATAATGAAATTAACTGGAGGATAAGTGCATAAAATATACTTAATACTGGAAGTGTAAGATTCATTTTGAAGGGCTGGTGGCGCACGTCTTTAATCCCAGCGTTTGGGAGGCAGAGGCTGGTGGATCTTTTGAGTTAAAGGCCTGTTTGTTCTACATATAGAGTTCCAGGACAGCCGGGGCTACATAGGGAGATTCTGTTTTATAAAAAAACCAAAAACAACAATAAAATTAACTATATTTTTATATCATATAGCTACCAGTCACTGTTCAGCTTTCTTGAGGTGTCTCCACCTTTTATAATTGGTTTTTGTTAGTATCCAAAAGAAATCAGAATTCTCATTATATTTTACTTTTGTAGACAGGGCCTCACTATATAGCCCTGGCTGGCCTAGAACTCACAGAGATCTGCCTCCTTAGTGTTGGGATTAAAGGCAAGTGCCACCATGCCCAGGCATATTACATTTTCCGAATGTACCCCTTACTTCTCTTTCATTATAAAACAGTTTCTCTTGCTCTCATATTTTTTCAGATGATTTATTTGTTGAGAAAACTGGTTATTTGTCCTGAAGATGTTTCCCATCAAATCTTCATGTGACATGCTTCTTTATCCCATTATTTCCTCTAAACTGATGATTAGATCTAAAGAACTGATGAAATTTAGGTATAATCTTTTTGTTGTTGAAGATAGCATGTTTGGAGTGCTGCACAAATAATAAGTCATTTGAGGAAGATCCAGTCTTTGATTTCAGTGATATTAAGATTAGACAGTGAATTCATATGTTTCCAACTCTTATCTCTTGGGAAGTTGCCCATTAATCGAACTTTAATTTTTTTTTTATTTATCTGCATGTATATCTCTGCACCATGTTTATGCCCAGTGCTCTTGGAGGCCAGAGGAGGGCATCAGATCCCCTGGGACTGAAGTTACAGATGGTTATGAGTCTCCATGGGGGTGCTGGAAATCAAACCTGGGTCCTCTGAAGAGCCCCCAGGGCTCTTGACCACTGAGACATCATCTCTCCAGCCCCTCCATCACACTTTTGTCTAATGATTTTGTGGTGATGACGTCATCTATTTTCCTGTGACAGGGTCTCACTGTGGTACCCAGACCAGCCTCCAACTTATAATCTTCCTGAATGAACTTAAGAGACTGAAAGAGCATAGGTTCTTCTGACTCTAGAATTTGTATTATGAATTGTCTGATTTTTAAAATTATTTACTGTTACAGTGTTGGGGGGTCTTGTGATTTAGACCTTATCTTTGCAGTTCCTGGGCTGCTTCCTAGGACAGGTCACCTCCCAGGAAAGCATCTGCCATCTCCACCTTGAATGTCGTTCTTGGCTCTGTTTGCTGGCGCTTTTTGTATAAGTGAGTTTGTGCTCCCAGCTTCTTTGCCAGAAAATGGGGGTTCTGATCAAAATGAAAGGCTTGGCTTATTCTTGAACAAACATTTTCATTGATATCATTGCTTATTTGTTTGTATCATCTGCCCTAAAAATGCTGTTTGAGAGGGCACCCCTGGAGGGGTGGCCACTCACCTCTGAGTTCACTCAAACAGATGAGAAGCCAATGCTACTTTGTTAGGACAGGTTACACAAATGGATGTCGAACTTGGAAATGTTACCCAGTTATAACTGAAGACCTGTTTTTAAAGTTTAAGCTTATTCATGACGGTTTGCTCCTCTGCCTGTGGTGGAGCTGGACAAAGGCATTTTCAGTAGAGATGGAGAAGTAGAGTGCCATAGTAAACTCAGCACAGAGGCATTTCAGTGTCGAGTCCTTGTGATGGGCCGTTACCTTGCTTCTGTCTGAGTTCCCTGAAGGTGTAGGTGCTGTGGGTCCCAGCAGTAGGTAGGCAGGAGGCATGAGTGGCTTTTGTGCAGGATATTTCCCTCTCTTTTTCGAGGTACCTTGCTAGGCTCTTAGCAAGGTCTAGCCTGAGATATCTGTGCTGACCCCCAGGGACAAAAGGTTTTCCCTCTTCGGCTCCAGATGCTAGCTTTCCTTGCTGCTCTTCTCTGTAGTACATTACACCCT